CTTAGAGGATGCGGATGCCGCCCTTTCACTCATAGCTGAATTACGGCGTCTGTGCATATTTTTCCATCGCGACAGCAGCTTCGACCCTCCTATTTCCTACCTCTTTCCTCACAAGAATGAGAAGATGGATGAGCTTCCAGAATGACAGCCATAAAGTTGTTTACAAAAATATTTGTATGTAATATCATCAAGAAGACCCGCCGGACTAACAGGACCTGCATGACTGTACTTGCCGCTTTTGTTCAAAATATGCCCCTTCACATAATCCACTTCATTCGGCGCTTTAATGTAAACTTCCTCAGTGATCTCAATCGCGTTGCGAACAGCATGGGCCCTACCTCGGTGCTCACTCCGCATCTCGGAAATGTCAAGGGCGTGGCTGCGTAGTTCACTTCAAGAACGTAGGGTGTGATTTTTGTGGAATACACCCGTTCGAGACAACTGTCATCCTGTCTTATGCACGTGGACAAAGACGTGTTTGTCATTGCTACAGCGATATCCTGTTAAACGCGTTAACCGCTGCTTTGCCCAGATGAAGCACGCAATCACACCCTCCCAATCTCTCGGATATAGATAGTAGATTTGGTCACAATTTCTAGCACAGTACAAAAGCTGGATCAAGTGTAGCTACTAGAGCTTCTCATGGAGCTATCTCCCACGTTAACCCAGTTACCAGTTTCAGCTCCTCTCGAAAACTGGGTATTTGTGGAGAGCTGCCACAAATGCTACTGCTATTCTACAAATGTCAACTTCGGTCCTATTGAAGCCTGGACAAAAGTGTTACTAGTCAACCTCCTATCTCCCACTTCCCGAAGGCTCGCGGGAGACGGACAAGACGATCGTAACCTGTCGCGCCGTCGCGCGCGGCGAATTATGCAATCATGCGCGACATATTCTCAATGTGCATCGGTTTATCGATTAGAGGTGCGAAACTCATGGAAATTTAGGTACGGGCAAGAAGAAATCCCCTGTTGTTAGTCCCACCGTATACACAGCATTACCGCTCTGTTGGACTGATAGGATTGCAGGATCGATTCCGCCCTTTCTGGAGGATCTGCCCATTGGCGCTTCTGTTGACGAGGTGTTTCACCTAGAGACACCTCCTCCATATCCGGTTACGACGTTGTTCAACCAGTTCGTGTGGCAGGAGCGGCAGAGAAACTGTAGACAGTACCCACCCTTCCCCTTGTATCGCTCAACTCAACTTTTAACCAAGTTTTAATACTTTTAGTGAACGAGGACTGTCATTTGTGCTTTTTGGAACAGTCAAGTGTAAGGACTAGATAGCGAGTTGATTCGTACGAATTGGTTTTGATCAAGGAACGCAGTAGGTCCTAATCCAAGAATGGTCGCCCTGGACGAGGTTCGTCTCCTAGGCAGAAGCCACTCAAGGGCACTATTTACCCTTTACCGCCCCAGTCATCCGAAATCTGGCCAGTTTTTGACCAAGTTTTTTCTCCGTGAACGGGGTTGGCTAAAAATTTTATGTTTTTGTGTAATTAGCCTCCTGAATATGAATATCACATCTGCTAATGACCTAGCGCTCGCGCCACGGCGCCAAAACATCCCAAATCACTGGCGCCTGCGGCGCGGGGCCACAAGGTTTCGGGCCAAGCGAATGTGACACCGGTATTCAAAGTTCAAAGTACCCAGGAGACAACATTCGAGCCAAATCTGTCTACGGAGAAAAAAGTCGGTCAAAAACTGGCTTGATTCCGGATGATTGGAGCAGTAAAGGGTAAATAGTGCACGGTGTGACTTGGCGGAGATTCAGATAGCAAAGAGAGCACAGTTCGGCGACCGGGGGAGGCATTTTGCACTTTTGCTACTTCCCATCGACGTGTCGACCTATAGAGACAGCCTCTTCTCAAGTTGACAGGTTTTACCATGATGGCTAGACCTTGCTCCAGCTTCACAAGAGTTCACAGGTTTCGCCAGAGTGAGACCTGTAAACCGGAACTGGGGAGGAATGATAGTACAAAGTGCTGCCTCCCCCCTCACCCGTCGCCGAACTGCGCCAGCGAAGTGTGACGAAAATGGTTAGTTTCATCTACTGTTTTGGACATGAGAGCGACATGGTCGTCGCGCCGGTGGGCGGAGCGAGGCGGCGTGGCGGCCGCCGCGTACGAGTTTTGCTGCGTGGCGTTTAAAGGGTCGACGATCCCTTTAACAATTTGAACGGCACTCAACAAATTTTTCATTTGAAAGAGGCACAGCTTGCTGTGGCCGTTGCTCCAATGACAACTCGGGAGTACGGTAATGCAACTCCGGGATTGCCGCGTCGCGGCGCGGCGTGTGCGGCGTCGCCTGACTTGCCGACGATAGAATCGCCCGGGTGCCATGTGAGCCACCCTCTCCTCCTCTCGCTCTCTCTCTCTCTCAGACACTATCGTTCATTATCA